CTGGTTTGGAAGGAGCCAATCAGAAGCCGAAGCATGGCCCGAGGAGGGCGGGGCTAGGTGCAGGAGGTGCAAGGCTGGGCGGGGGGGGGCAACGTGGCGGGGGGGCATGTGCCCTGGGTCCTAGGGGCGAGACAATGAACAATGCACCCGAGCACGGAGCAGAGCCAGAGCTGCCCTTCTCCGGCACAGCCCACTGGGGCAGGGGCTACTGCACCTGGCGTGCCCGGCTGCACGCCCACCCTGTCCTGCCCTCGGGATGCTCCGCTCTGGGTCACAGCTGGGTCCCTCTTGCCCAGTCTCCTTCGCCAGGGACTCGCAGAGCAGATCCTGGAGGGGGGAAGCTGGTCTGACCCAGGCACTGGAGGGCGAGAGAAGGGGGTCTGACCCAGGTTCTTCCCCACCGTTCTTCTCTCCCCTGCAGCCTCCAGCATTTAAAGTCAAGGAAGCTCTGACTCAGAGGCTGTGCCCCTCACCGCTGGGCTCAGTAGCTCTTGCTGCTCCTTTCCTCTAAGAATGTGTCCCACCCCTATGGGAATCTAGCTAGCCTCTCAGATGTGCTGGCAATCAGTCCCACCCCTGAATGCCACGCTGGGTGAAAAAACTGCTCTGTATCAGTTTTGAACTTACTTGGTCCGTGTTGTTCCCTCCTAGTTCTTATCTGGGGGGAGACAGTCAAAAATAAATCCCTATTGACTTTCTTTGTCATTCAGTATTGGGTAACCCTTACCTTGTTCCTCCCTCAAACCTCTTTTCTAAGCTGAATAGGCTGAGTCTCTTTTTTCTAACCTGGACAGCCCAGGACTTTCACAACTCCTAAAACAAGTGCTCTCCTCTCAGCGTGGGTACGGCCTGAGATCTCACCGTGGCCAGAGGGAACACAACAAGGACCCACTGGTGAACCTCAAGAAAATGGGTGCCAGCATGGCTGCTGACCAACTCCAATGGTGCTGCAGTCTCAACCGAGCTGCGGCCTGTTTTAAAGTAAAGTGTCTTGCCCTTGAAGCAGGGAAGAGAGAGCAGAGAAAGGGAAAGGAGAGCAATGTCAGCGTGCAGTCTACTCTGCACTGGGGGAAAGACCTGCAACTTCTGCTGATCTGTGGCTCAAGGACTGGACTCTTAAGTCACCTCAAGCCCATCAATGAGCCATGGTGGAGATTATCCTCAAAACTGAATGATCACTGCTATCACCGCTTACAATCAGTTGCCCTTTTTATCTTGTGCCCCCTCTAGCCCTGAGCTTCAGAACAGTGTGGAATGGATTGTCCCAGCTCCTTCTCCATGCCCACAACCTCTAGGTACTGGCCTGCTAATGCTGCTCTGCTTGCCTCCTGTTACCAAGCACAAAACCAGCCCCAGATCTAGCTGTAAGGCCACCTCAAGTGTCTCCAATACAACAGCCCAGCAGAAGGGTGCTGAGTAGAGTGCACAGACTAGAATGGAACAATGTCAGCACAGCAACAGGCTCTAGTTTGGTCATCTGGTGCATACATGGGACACAAGGATTGTGTTAGATTAGCCATAGTGGAAACCCTCTGCTCCCAGGGCTTGCAATGTGGCACGGAGCATTCCTCTGAGATGATTCCTAATGAATCTAAGTCACGATTTGACAATAAAGCCAGCGTAGCAATAAAAGCTAAATGGCTGCACATGATCTGCTGCTTCTGTAAACTATGCCTTGCCCCGTTCTTGTCCTGACTTCCTAGACCAAGGAGCCACCTAATGAGACCTTCACATGACAACACATACAATGCTAGGATAAGTGTTTGCGCCTCATTAGCAATCTCCACGTGTAAAACAGCTACTGCCACATTGTTTGAGATCCACTTTGAAATACCCTGCAAAAAAATAATGCAGTAAAGATAAATGAAGCCATAGGAAAACACCATTGAAAGTAGCACGCATGTGAAACAGCAGAGAAAAGCACATACCTGTACTATTTTCAAAAAGGGTAGGAGGAACCTGCAGCAGTGAAAGGTAGTCAATTCTCTGCTCATTGCTGTTGTTGCTGAGAACAGCTTAAGTCAGATTCAAGTGCTGCTTAAAGCAAACAGCTCTCCGTAAGAAAGCCTACTACACGTGCTTGTTTCTTATCCCTTTGTAAGTCTCCACTCCACTCCATTATTCAAATTGTCAAATTCAGTCTTTTCCACTGCCTGCATTTCCTCCAGACTAGCTTTTCTGTTTTGTTTTTGATATTCCAAATACTTTCCCTCCCTAAAGACCAAGAGATTATTTTCTATTTTGATCCCTCTTGCCCTCCTCCATTTTCACTGGCATTTTCTCCCACAGACCTTATCTGGTTACCAACATTCACTCCATTTCTTTCTCCCACTTCCCATCTTTAAAGCACCGATCCTATCCTACTTCCGTATGATGGCCAAGGGTATTTCAGAGGTTAATATAATTTGCCCTCCAGCCAGCAGCAAGCAGCCAACTCTATAGTCACTCATGACACAATACTTTCATTAACTTGCCCATCCAAGAATACACAGTTAGGCAACAACAAATAAATAGAGGTTTGACATCAACACATAGCAGTTGCTTTGCAAGGAAAATACATTAGAGAAAAGATCTCTAGGGATCTGTTAACCAGGCTACTTGCAGCAGTGACTCCAAGCTGCAATGGAGGACACAGCTATTCTGCCCCATGGGAAAGACATGGCACTGGGTTTCCCTTCCTTCAGCTTTCCCAAGAAAAATCCAGGGCTTGGATTCCTCTCAGCAGTTAGGGATGCAGGTGAAGCCACTATTATCGTTACCTGCAGGAGACTCTCAAAAACATTATTCCTAGACTGCCCAAATTCAAATATTGCATATTAAACTACTGTCGCTCTGGATAGGCTGCTAGCATTCCTTAGTTTGCCCTTTGTTTAAGCTGTGGTGCAGGACACATTTTGGAATATTGCAGCAAGTTTAAGTAAGTGCTGGACTAGGAAGCATCGCTTTCTTCCATTGATGCAGACTCCTATATAGAGGATTATGCTTGGTGATCTGCCATCTCTGCCCACAAGATAAAGCCAAGACTTGCTGCTATGCAAGCAGAACCAGGCTCTTGTTTATGTGACAACTAGGCTTTAAGCAGCAAGGGCATTGAAGATAGTGAGAATTTTTATGACCTCATGCTGATTTAGGGAAGTTTTTGGCAAACAGAGGAGCCTTATCTAAAGCCAGCAGAGAAGAGGCCTTGATCAACTGGGTCCTCTTGTATATTACAGCTCTTACTCAGCACAAAAGTAAAGCATTGAAATCAAACAGCTGTCTTCTATCTTGAGGCTGCTTCACACAGAACACTGGTTATAATTAGTGCTTTATTTCCCAAACTTTTCAGTAGTTTGGGGGTTTTTTAGGGCTGGGTATTACAAAAGAATTTGTCTCTCCTAGATTTCAGGCATATTTTTGAAGGTACAAAGGTCTGGCCTGCTCGCTTTCAGCTAGTAAAAAAGTTTCCACTGTCAGTGTTAATCTTGTGGCTAACGCTACTGTTGTTTGACTACGTGGCATGTTTTAAGGTGCCCACGTTTGTGTGTGTGGGTGGACTAAATCCCAAGCCACTCTTAGTCACCAAGGGCTGGACATTTGACTTTGATCTTGGACTCTTTCCTCTGCTGGGGAAAGGGAAAAGCCTCATGATGTGTTTGTTAACAGTCACTGAAGATGCAGGTAAAACTGTAAGACATGAAGATTGCAGTTTTGCGAGAATCTGTTACTAGGGCATTTATACTGAGCTTGATTTTTTTAAAAAGGCAGCAACTAATTTTCTAAGGCAAGGAAGATTTGCACTTAAAGTCTTAGAGGTTTAAAAGAGATAGTCACTCTCAGCTCACTTGGCAATTGCAAAGCTTTGAATGAGAAGTGGGGTCCATATATCACTGTAAGAGGGAAGATGAAAGGCAGTAGCCAATTAAGGCACCATTAAGGTTTCCCAAAAAGGAGAAATACAGCTCACTCTACTCCACAGAGCCAAGCACACATGCTTAGGACTTGGCTCATGTCACTTTGTCCTGTAAGCGTTAGCTGTGTGTTTGCTGCAAGTGCTTACGCAATCAGAAGTGGGAGGAGAGAGAGTCCACACAGCTGCCTATAGGAAAGGAGGTGCTCATCAGTTCATGTGGGCTACACCAGGAAAATTTTCAAATGGCTTTGAACCATGCAGCGAGTGCTGCCGCCTACTGGAATGTGCAAGAAATGGTACAGAACAATCCAGGTATTTGTAAGATGCTTGAAAAACCCATAGCAAGAATAATCTAGATGCAGAGAAATCCACGAAAGGGTGAGGCCCTACCAAATTTACTTGTTTCCCAGCCAGGGCAGTGCATTCCATATAAGGGGACTGAAAAAGGGCTATGCACCTACCCAAACTCCATGTAAACAATGCTCATAAGGACAGGGACAGCCTGTGCCAAGCTTAATGCTTCATTAAGCTCCCTACCTTGTTTTTCATAGCACCTTAGGCCTTTAATAGCAGCCCTGAAATTTATATTGCGTAGTCAGTTATGCACATACCCTGTATGCATCCAAGTGGAGTACAACGTAGTTAAAACCTTTGTACTCCATGCTACCCTGAAGTTCATGAGAACATGGATTACTCCATGCTACCCTGAAGTTCATGAGAACATGGATTACTAAGTAGTAAAGAAAGGGTTAAATAGACAGGGTTGGAAGCAGCTGATCTCAAAGGATCAATGGTGTATTCCAGCCTGTCCAATAAGAACATACTCCCAAAACCCTTTTGTTAATCCCTTAAACCTTATTTCTCTCCATAGTGACATGTCCCACCATCAGGCAAATGACTGCCCAGACACATTCCTCCATACCTTCTCTGGCACTTTATTCCTGAGTGATGCTACTGCTATCAAGTTAAAAAAGGGGGGGAGGGGGGAATAGATACACTGCTTTATTGTATACATCCAATATGGTTAAAAATAAAACAAATCAAAGCAACAAAACGCACCACATGGAGGACACGAAAAATACAGCTCACAAGAAATCCTGGTAGGGAACAAAACAAGTGTGAGTGCTTTCAAAACCAGCATTTCTACAAAACTGCATTTTTACCCTCTCTTCCTGCATGGCAGATCAAGTGTCTCTGGACTCGTCATAAATAAGCTGATCTTGGTTTATGGAGGGAAGCTGAGGTCCTGTCTCTGGAAGCACAGCACAGACGCCGCAGTGAGACAATTAAATATTAGCCACCGATGTTGCGGAGGTTGTTTTTCACAAGTAACCAACCAGTCTAGACATCAGGCAATAAAATCCAAAGGTCTGTTGAATCCACCCTTTCTGTTCATGTACTGCCTGCAATGGGAGGGTGGGCAGGGTGGAGAAGGGAACAGAGAAATATCAACATTATTAGAAATGAATTATCTGTCCCTGCCACGAATGTTAGAAATCAATTTACAAGGCAGTTATAAAAAGATACTGGGAGACATCTCTCAGGCTGGCTGTAGTTAAACACTGCTACATACCCTACCTGGCTTGTTAGTAATGTGTACGAAATAACTTGGGTAGTTTTAATTGACAAAATCTCCTGCAAAGGTGCTAGTAAGCGCTAATTTTAGCTACAGAGGCTGATCTGAGCTCACTGTAACAGCTGATCATTGATCAGGCATACACAAGATGTGTTTGCTGTAGTGGCAACCCCTCCAAAATTCAGCCCAAACATGCCTCTGCTGACATAAGTTTATAGCTCATTGTGCTTGCCGAAAACGTATCTGGGCAACAACCCTTTTCTATTGGTTCAACTGCATCTATGCTAGGGTTTTTGCTGGTATAGGAGTGTCAAAAAGGCCACACAACACCCCTTAACTGACATAAGACTAGCAAACATTTCTAGCCAACACTGGCCCAGAAGCTTGAAGACCACTAGCAAGGCTGCATCTGTTCAAAGACTACAGTCCCTGACCTATCAATTCGGTATGTTCCATGGGTGCCGAAGTTTAAAGACATGCCAGGGGTGGGGACAAAGGGAGGAAAAAATAACCCTAACAAGTGATGCAGTCACTTCCAGCGACAAACAGCAGCAGAATACAGGTGGGGAAGGGCTGGCACTCTGTCTTTGGTGCCACTGCTGCTCAGGTGGGCAGGATAAGAATTTTAGTTGCATCTAAACAGAATGTCTGTGCACCCTAACTCTTTGTTTCTTACTGCTTTTTGCCAGCAGCACAGGATTTAAGCGGGACACCACAAGTATGAAACTGGTATCTGTCCTGACTCTATAGCACATCCTTAGAGGCAAGACCATCAAGCAAGTCCAATATCAATGACAGCCGCTCAGGAAACAGACCCAGAGAGCTATTCTTCCAGCCAGGACTAAAAGTCTTCTCCAGTTCATCTCCTTCCCATGAGAATCTAGTTCTCTCTCAATAGATGTGCATAACCAATATTCCCATGTCCTAATCTGGTCTATTGGGTTTGAGTGGCAAAGCCACACACCTGTACTTTCTCTTCTGCGACACGTTGATGGCATAGGCATTCGCAGAACCATCCACTTTCTTTCCCTGAAAGACATAACAGGAAAAAATAAGGTCCAAACCTCAGAGTACTGTACAGAGAACTGGTAAGAAGCTGATGAGCACTGACAGAGGTGGTAAAATGAAACTAAGACAGCTAACCCAACAGAACCCTGTCATTAGGAAAGCCAAGGAATTTACTAAACCCAAGGCAGGTTAGTTTTCAGAAAGCAGATTAACAGAACTAACAAAGCAAACTATTTTTTAGAGACAACTGGCTGCAGGACTAATTGCTTTCTTCGCATTATACACCAAGGTATCTGTCCAAAGCTGATCCATAGCAAAAGGCATCATCCTCTGAGAGACCTTCCCAACACAATGGTGACAAGGCTAAACCTCACTTGTCCTGAGAGATAGGACTCTCTGATGCAAGGTTTCAAAACATGTGGGTGCATTATTTCTTAACGGTCCAGAGACAGACATGCAATAGAGACTGATTATGCCCTAGAATGAACTGCAGATGTATTCAAGAAAATGGCAGGGACTTCAAGTTCCAAGTGCTATGGAACACACCACTCACTTTTGTTGTGTCAAAAGTTGCAAATCCCATTAACTTCATCATCTCAATTTCTTCCTCCGTCTTCCCTTCCAGATCTTCTTCTAAAAAGACAGTAAAAAGCAATATGGAATTTGTGATACAACAATAAGAAAGTTTCCTGGCCTCAGGGTTGGGGTGCACAGATAGCTGGGACAGAAGCATGTGAGGAAGATTTCAGCAGCACCTGATTTTAGTAATCTTGACTCAAGCAATTTCCATGGCAACCACTGCACTTCTTAACTGAATTAATGATGCCCAACAAGCTCTCTAAACACTGAGGTAAGATACACAAAGGCTCAAGAGGTCAGGACAACATTCTCGCACCAGTAATTTGCCGCTCCTTGGCTTTAGTGTCTTTGACTTCCTTCTTTTCTTCCTCTCGCCTTTCCTTAGGCCGGCTTGGGGAAGAGGAGCTGGATCGGTGCCGTCTTGGAGATCTAGAATTCCAAACAAGGACAGGTTTCAGTGGAACAGCAACAGAGGGAAACACTGCAGCGGTCAATATTGCAATGAGCGCTAAAAACCAAATACAGAGACCTCTGTTGTAATCTTATCTGCCACACCAAGTAAAGCATGACACTGTTACACAGTGTTACAAGTGTCCTCTGGTTTCCTTGCACTCTGCAGTTCTTTCTGAATTTACATGCTGACTTTGCAAGAGCTCTGCAGCCACGACCATCTTTCTGTCTCTCATGTATAGTGATAAGCAATACAAAGCCCAACACCATGACTTAGGCACTGTTGCAATAACAAATACAAAGGGGCATAACTTTTCCCAGTTAACCCCTGTTAAGTAAGTAAAGACACCGGATGTCTGGTATAAAGGCTTCCTTAGTTTCCCCACCTTCTGCTCAGGTCAAAAGGCAAAATGGTCTCTCAGCTAGGTAGCTAATAACTCACTACCCTGCCAATTTCATAGCAACAGTGATATTGAATAGAGGAGAAAGGAGCTGCCAGCCAGAAACCTACTCCATTACCCTTGGAGGACAACAGCACTCTGCCCTCACCTGGATCGTCTCCTGTGCGGCGAACGGGAACGACTCCTCCTCCTGTCCCTATCCCGGGACCGCGAGCGCTCCCTTCGCCTCCTTTCCCTCTCCCGGGAAGTGGAACGAGAACGTCTACGGTCTGAGGCAAGCCAGGATTGGGAGGAAGAGAAAAAGAGAGGGTTGGCGAATCCTGGCCATCTTGAACTCACTGCTTTATTATGGCTGTAGGAAACCTCTTAGCTTGGAACAGAAGACCAGGTTTATTTAGTATTTAAAATGCTGGGGATGTCTCCCCACATACAAGACTTGCTCAGGGGTAGGAAAGGGTGATCCTACGGCGCAAACGAGACCAGAGGGAAAATGCACAACGCTCTGGGCAAACAGGGCCTAGCTCAACCCAGCATCACCAGTTCCTGCAGAAGCTCCTGCTGAGATTCTGGCTGCACGACTCCCCACAGCTTTCTGTTTACACCCTCCCCAACTGCAGCCCCACCATGTCCCAGGACCTCCCTGTCAACCTCCTCCTGACCCTAACCAAACTGGGCTGGAAGGAGACTCTGGCCAGGGGGAATCACTGGGGGCTGTGGGAACATTTTCCTGTGTCTCACCCATTCATGTGTCCAGGCCAAGTATCTCCAGGCTCCTTAGACTCGTCTGAGGACCAATGGGTGCTGTCAGGTATGGCCTGCTCAGTTCTCCTCCTTGATACACTCATTACAAAATCTACAATCTTGACTCCTTTCCTTGTTTTCATGTGTCCCAAGGAATCAATTGCTACATCCTCAGTGGTCTCTTTCTTAAGGAAAGCTTACAGTTTTACTTGGTAGGCCTGGGCCCATGCTTCGCCAGTGGCGTAACCAACAGCTCGGACCAGAAAGGACGCTCTGGCCAGGGGGACGCCTGGGGACTGCAGGGCTGCCTCCGTCCCGAGGCCCCGGCTGCTGCTTGGAACAGGAGGGGCCGACTGTCCTCTCGACCAAGAACCGAGGGGCAGCTCCCCCACCCCTGCCCACACTCATGCCTAGGGCTGGCTTCTTGGGGACCACCCCCAGCCCCCCCTGCTGCGGGGGAGAGGCTTGTCCCCCATCCCCCATGGAAGGGGGGGGGGGGGCTGCCACCACCCCCTTCTCTGCCTCCGGGCTGGGATCCAACCCCCTCGCCAAGGGGCGCACGGCACAGACCTGCCCCACCTCCGCCCTCCGGGGGAGGCACTCACCCCTGCGCGGTGGGGAGCGGGACCGGCTGCGGCCCATCCCTGCAGCCCGGGCGGACTTCCCGGATCGCGGGCCCACGCCGGAGCCCCGCGGGGAGGTACTTCCGGGGCGAGGTCTGTCACTTCCGCTCCGATGGGGAAGGCGTCCCCCGCCCGCCCCTGCGCACTTTGGTTCCGGGGAGGGAGGGTTCCGCCCTTCGCTGGGCTCGGCTCGCGGCCGCGGGGCTTGGGGTCTTCGTGGTCCTGTGCTGCTGCTGCTCAACGCGGCCTCCGTGGAAACAGGCAGACGCGGTTCTTTGGGCACTCGTGAAATCTTGTATTAGACTATAAAGGCTTGGGGAAGCTGTTCTTTGCAAGGTTCTGGGTACAAAACCCTCCTTCAGGCGGAGAGGGAGTGTCTGAAGAAGGGGGTTGTACCCGAAAGCTTGCAGAGAACACTTTGTGCAGCCATTTACTTGGTCTAACACAAGATTTCACCTTTCCCCAGGGAAGCTTGTCTGCCCATGTCCTTGCAACCAGCACCTCCATGGAAACACGCTTTGGGGGCACAAGCCACAGATGCCAGCGCCCAGCAGCAATTGCCTCCATGTAGATGCCCAGGTCATGACCTCGGCTCGGGCGACTATGGCGAGTTGCAAAGTCCTTCTCACAAGCACGCGATCCCCAGCCTTCGGGGGCTGCCCAATGTCCTACGCAGTGAGGCCGCTGGTTGGTGCCTGCCAGGGACACCAGGCACAGCGTAGCGCTGCATCTCATACCATGCAACCACCACCGCTCTGCCCACTGCAACTGGCAGGCTGTGTCCTCTCCCTCTGGGCAATCTTCCCCTCACCCCGGCTTCTCCCTGGCTGCATCTACGTGAGACACCCCACAGGGCAGGATGGCTTTAGCACCATGGATTCCCGTGTGAAAGTTCTGGGGTTATCTTGTGAGTGGGGTTTGCACACCTAACAGTGCTAACACCTTTGAAAGGATCTGAGACTCTCTTGAGAAACCCTTTTGAATTGATGCCGTAAGACTTCTGGTTGGGTTTGCTCTGGATACACACTAGGGATCTCAGGAGGTTTCTCCTAAGGGACAGAAACTATATTGGCATCCTTGGATCAAGCTTTTCTTTTTCTGTCTGCTCTTTGTAGCGTGTCCTGCATCCCCGTCACCCTCCAGCCCTCAGGCTGCTGGGCTATAAGAAATATACTGCATTTCTCGACACTATTGTAATACTGTTGTAAATTAGAAGCGCTTCTATAGCCACATGAGCTGAATCTGGGCCTTTCCCTTGCATGTGTGGGCTTCTGCTTTCACCTCTCCTCGGGCTCCTTGATTTTTGATTGGGATCCAGCCTCCTGCCCTTTCTCTGGAGCGCTTGCAGCCTCTCCAGCACCTGACATGTCCATTGTGCTGTTTTCTAAGCAAAACCAAGCCCTTCAGGCTGCTTCCCAGCCATGCACAGAACATCTGCAGCCCTCTGCATGGCCATGATGCTGGGAGGTTTACTTTGTGCAAGATCCTGGGTGCCCCTGGGCAAGGAAGAGCCAGGGGCTGGGATCCCCGAGCTGGGATGGAGCTGAACCGCCTGTTCGGAGCAACCACCACATTTGCAAATCTAAGAGGAGCCTCCAGGTCTCGGCAAGCCTGCACGGGGCCACAGATCCCCGAGGAGCTGGGAAGCCCCAGCCCATGTCAGATCCCCTCCGGGGCTGCTTCAGCATCACTCTGAATTGATCCAGGGGCGGGAAGCTGAGGGGTCCCAGGGCAACTTGGAGCAGGCAGGAGCTGTTCAGTTGCTCCTCCATGCCATGAGTTGGGCAGGTCTTGGCCTCAGCAGAGGGAGGGGCAGAGAGGGAGCCACTAAGCAGGCAGTTCCTCCTCACCCCCTTCTCCCAACCTCGTTGGAAAGGAAACGCAGTGCCAGGCAGGCCAGAGTGTTACCGTGAAAGTTTATTCTGTTTGCTGCTGTTCTCAAAAGGGGGATAGCAAGGGGACAACAAGCCTCTGGTCCTGACCCTGGGGGCAGCTCGCTTGGCCCCCAGAGAGAGCTTGGCCCCAGGGTTGCTTCGATACAGGAATATCCACTCAGCCACGAAGAGCGTAATACAGTTGTCTGGATGCAGGGACATGCAATCCTAGCAGGACTCCCACCCCGCGGGGCCAAAAGTCTCCCAGGTCCCGCTGGGAGGGTCTGTGTGAAGCCAGCGGGACGGGCACCCGAAGGTTACAAGCCAAAACTGATACAGAGTAAAAAGAAAAGAAAAGATAACTCGAAAACGGCAATGGAAACCCAAAATCTGGATGTCCCCATGTGTGGAGAAAAGAGTAGACCCACAGCAAAAAAATAGAGGCTTTCAAGTAGTAATGCACAGATACAGGTTACCAGAGCCTAGGTAGCAAGAAAGTTATTTACACCAGAACCCAACGGTAAACTTCACAATACTAGCAAAAGGCCAAACACAGGGTCATATTTACAGACGGAGACATGATAGAGCACTTTCAAGCAACGATTGTCAGACACAGACAGTTCACTTTAACAGCCCAACTGCTATATAGAACATTGTACCATACTTAGTTTGGTTATCATTTGTACACTGGGCAGGCTCCCCTGGGCTCCTCCACATGCGAGTGAATTGTTGCCCTCAGCCCATCTGCTGTGAGAGGCAAAGCATAAAGAGCTGCATTTTCAAACCAGAAGGATGGAGGCAGGCTCACCCATCAATCAGAAAGGGAAATCTGATGCCATTTGGGATATCCACTGCTATAAGCTGTCACCTGTTTCCATTGCGGTAGCCACCCTGCTGCTGCCATTTTTCTCATTGCACCATTCCCCCTGCAATGATTTCTTTGCAGAGTTGCTCTTACCTAGGACTTGCATGGTTGTGTGTGGGAGAGCACTGATTTCCTGTGACATGTTTCCACAGCACAGCTGGCGTCTAGATCAGTAATTCCCAAGCTGAGGATCACAACCCCAATCAGGGTCATGGCACATACAAGTGAGGTCACGAGCCCCATAGAAGTGCAATTGGGAAGATAAGAGGTTGCACGCTGACTGGGAGTGGTGTCATAAACCTAGGAGCGGGGTCACAGGCCCCAAAAGTTCAGAAAACGCCTGGATTTTATCTCCGAATCAAGCTGTGCCAATGCATGTACCATCGTGCAACTACAATCCCAGGTGACACACATTTATTTTCCTGTCCTATTTGGCATTTAACATGTGTGAGGTCAATGCCATGATACTTTATAGAGACAAAGATAAATAGAGTGGGCTTCTGGACCAAAACCTGTTGGGAGTGACATGTTGCAAGGCATCAGCAAACTTAGCTGCCTACCACAGATGGGACCAAGCCTCTTGTGAGTGAATGCATATCTCAGCAAATACAGTGGGCTTCACCCTGCCCTCTGCTGAGTTCCTGCTGTGAATCACTGACTTTAGTGGGTGCTGGATTCATACCTTCCTTTGGTTTGAATAACTCCGTAAGCTTCAACAGCATCACACAGCACTGGTAAGGGGAGAATCAGGTAAGACAGTGATGGGCATGTTTTGCACCTGCTTATTCCAGTGCTGAATTGGGCCCAGGGTTTTTATTAAAAAATAATAATAAATCTAGCAAACAAATTTGAACAGGAAGCATTGGGTCTACTTTAAAATACTGGCTTAAGACAAGACAAAGGAGGGGCCTATTTGGGATGGTTCATGGTGCAGGCCTCTGGCTGTGAATGTAAGAGTGAGAACAAAATCCTTGGAGTCCAGGGAGCAGAGTATACTAAACTACCTGGGGTGAAAAGTCCTCTGCAACTGTTACAGCACGTTTCTGGGTGGCTGCTCAAATCACTGAATAACCGTGGGTGTGAACTTGCAAATAAGAACTTCAGACTAAGGGAGGACTTAAACAAGCTCTCCCCATCTTAATACAGCAGCCCTCCATGCCCTGCCAGTTAGCATCCTGAGCCTGGCTGCCTGTCAGTGTAAGGTCCCTGATAGCCCTAGATATTGCAATTGCATACCCAGGCCATGTACTATGGGGATGCAGCCACCACCAGGCTGCTCCTTCCTTGCTAATGCAGGTGGGCAGGGAGTGAGTGAAGCAGGCAGCATAGCTGAATCAGCGTGCAGAGAGAAGCAAGCTGCCTGAACAGTAGGACAGAAGTCTTCTTTCCCCGTTCCACAGAGGAAACAGGGATTCATCTGGGACTCAGATAGGTCTGGGGACACAACAGCACCATGCTGCTCCTGACTCAGGAACCACCTTCTCTAAGACTCAGGTGAGGTTGCAATGACAAAATGAGACCTAAAGCATTGCTGCCATTGCTTCACACTGAGATCTGCACTCCCGCCTTTCAGGAAACAAATAACCATAGATCAGTTCTGTAATTGCAGTGATAATTAGGGGTATAGTTCAAGATAATTACATGGTTATTTATGCCTGGCAGATTACATGGTGCAAGTGTTATTGCGGGCAGATGTAAACTTATAAATGAAAAACCAGTAAGTGAATAGCGTGTAATTGCAGGGGGTCATTGTTCCCTATTAACTTGAGTGCATCTTTTCAGAACAGTGAAACTAAAAGGCAGCAGAAGCTCTGGCCCTTCCTCGCTGACGTGGGTCTTGTTATGTACTAAGGAAAGTGGTGCGTTAGGCTTCTTCATGTTTGTGTCTGGAAATGAAACCTTCTCTGTGCCTCATCATATGGCTCATTCTGAACAGTTCTCAGCACCCACAGCTCCCACTGTCATTGACATCTATTCTGCTCTTCAATGCTGATGCCACAGCAAGTTCCAACAGCCTTGAAAATCATTGGAAAGATAGCAGAATCAGAGTTTCCATAGGTGCAGTGGGTGTTCAGAGGCTAACATGAATGTACGAGGCATTGGTTAGGAAGACACAGGTCTCTTCAATACTTAATATTTAGCAACACAATTTCAGTTCCAGCTTAAGGTCAAGCCCAAGGGCTATTATCTGAGTTTGTCTTGAGGTATAAAAGAAGGGTTCAGATCCAGGCTTCACTGGCACTCTACAATGTTCAGATCTGGGAATTTGGGTAAGGCCCCTTTCATGCTATTTTAGCAGAAGCTTGTAAAACGTTTGTGGGGCACAGGAAAACTCCCTGTGGCTTTGAAGGCAGCCTACATGCAACTCGGGTTTAGTCATTCAGGCCTTTCTGCATTTCCATGCAAACTCATCCATAACCAGTGCTGAACATAAAATCTTGATGTTTCATAGGAACGTAACCATAATAGATTAATGATCTGTGTGGATGAGGAGTCCATCTCCAATAGGGGACAATGTCAGATATTTGAGAGGAAGGAATAAATACCCTTTAATTGTACCTAATTCAGTACTTTCCCATGGGAGCTCCAAGAAGAGTTTCTCCCTGATCTCAGTTGGTGACCAGCTTTATAATGCTCATATAACTTAACAATAATATCTATAACCAAGGTTGCTGTGAAAGGTGGGCTACTGTACCCCAGTTTTGCCTTCCTGTACAGGCCAAATTCCCATTAATTTCAATGGTAGTTCAGTGTACGAGGGCTGAAAATCAGACCTTTAATTGGCATTGACATTAAAGCCAATATCCAGCATGACATTTCAGTGTAGAACCAAAACACACAAATGAAAGGAGTGGCGGTGTATATTGATTTTGTGTTATTTTTTAGCTAAGGTAAAAACATATCTAGCACATTTGAACCTGCAAGCTGGACTTTGGCTTTGGCTGTTTAATATCATAAGAACCTTGTTATTGAACACAGTGTCCTGCAGTTTAGTAAACTGGAGTAGTTGCCTTGAATGGGAGTGGGGGGAGGGTGTTAAAGATGCCTTCTCCATCTCCTGTGACGAATTCAGAAAGTGGAAGTGTGTTTGGATGTGGGAAGCGGGGCGTGACTCATTTGTTTAGGGGCAGATCTTTTGTTCTGTGTTGGTACAGCACTTAGCACATCAGGCATCCCCAGCATTTTAAATACTAAATAAACCTGGTCTTCTCTTCCAAGCCAAGAGGCTTCCTACAGTGCACCAGGTTGGAATAGCACAGGCCAAATCAGTGAATGCAATGAAAAGCACTAACAAGTCTCCATGTCACAACCCCATCCAAGTGTGACAAGGTTGTCATTAATTAGCACTGCAGCGAGGAAGAGCAAAGTCACATTTTCTACAGGCTTCTCCTTTTGTGATGCTTTTCGGTTCTGCAGCAGCTATCACAGGAGGGGGATTGGCAGCGTGAGTTTATGCCAAACTGACAAAGTAGCACTTAGTGACTGTAGTTTCCTTGGTTTTAAACAGAACAGATGGTTTCTCAAGGCATTCTCCCTCTCCGTTTCCACCACGGTCTTTATGGCAGGACACAAAAGCTTGCTTGATGTTGTTGGGCAGGGACCTCCATATACCCCAGAAGTCAATACTCCTTTCCAAGTGGCCTAATTTCCTATTTCATTCCATGCTGCAGCAAACAAAACCTAAGATATCTTGTCACCACTCCACGCAGAAAAAAACTTTGAAAATGGCTTGTCGGCTTCATCGGAAGATTGCCATCCAGGAAGCAAAAGGTCACGGGCTCATCCCCTGCCCTTTGCTTCTCTGGAGATCAATCCTGCCCACTTTTGATTTGGATGAAATTGTACTGTCACCCTTTGAGTTACACAACCAAGCGCAGCCATGTGACTAGCTGGGACTGCTTGGAAGGCTTGGAAAAAAATTGGCCAATCAATCCAGTGCATCCTGGCTGTGCCATCATGTGTCATGAGGTGTGTTCTCAACTCTGCACACAAAACTGTTTCTAAAGGTGGCCACCTGTGCTGTGAAGAAAGCAGCGTGTGGGAAGACCTCAGCCCACGCAACCTGAAACGACTTGGATTATAAGTGCTGTGACAAGGTGGAACTGGGGGGAGGGAAAAAAGAGAGTAGATTTATCGTTTGTGAAATAATTTGTGACTAGCTCATCAAGCAGAGAAATCAGGTCCACAGTCATTTTTAAGCTTGGTTACTTCCTCAAAAAGCGGTCAACAGCAGGTTAATGGGGAATGGTACATCTTGCTCCATGAGCACCCAGAAAATTCACCGCATTTCCTCCAAAGCATAGGTTTTGTCTCCATGTGCATTACACAAGAGTCTTTCTGAGTCTCTCAGTGCCTGGTTCTACCTCAGCACAAACCATCCGAAGTGAGGCAGTTGTTAGCTGTGGTTAGGAGCTCCCTCTACTGCTCCGGTGACCTTGGTGGGTAGGGGAGTAGGTGGGGAGGAGCAGGAGGAAGGGGCCCGGAGCGGAATCAAGATTCAGCCTTCTCCTTCTTTTTGCTCTTTTTCAGGAAGGAGGGGGTCCGGAATTTCTTCTTCTTCTTGGAGGGAGATTTGGATGGCGAGCCTTCTGGGGACACGGGGCCACTGGTAATCGACTCTGTTTTGTCCTTAGGGGCGTCTGTGTCAGCATCTGCATTAGTGGTCATCTGGCTTATTCCTTTGCTTAGGATTTCTTCTGCAGTTTGGTCATCATCTTTTCCGTTCACCACCACCGCATCCTGCTGTTCCTTTTGGACAACAGCGGTGGTGTCATTGGGCGGCTGGCTGGCGTCGGCCTTTTTATCGCCTTCACACAAAGCAAAAAGAAAGACACAAGGGGTGAGGATTTATGGAGGCAGAGTCACAGCTTGCATTAGTTGGGCTGCTGCTACAGGGCCACTGTTTGCCTTAGGGGGCCAAAATATGTAGGAAGTGGTCTTAGAGGCTGCAAGCAGGTTAGAAGCAGACATTTTTTGCCCTGCCCTCTGCATTTATTAAACCACCAACCCACCAGTGAGGACAGTCCAGGTTGATACTGGTTTGAATGGAGGCAGAATTTGGCTCAGGGTATAAGGAGCATCATAAAACCTGATTTCCCCTTCACTTACACCAGAGCAATTCCCCTGGGCCTGGTTACTCCGTGCTTCATGACACGTGCATTTTTACATCTGTTCAAAGCAAGTGTGACATGAGTGTAAAACACAGGTGTAAAAAGGTGCCAAGATGGAGAATTAGGTCCATTGTTTTGCAGTGAACTATCGCTGGCACCAGCAAGGAAGAACAAAGCAGGTCATGAAGTTCACAGTCTGGACCTTATCCTCCTTCCAATAAGCCCTGTGGGCCTTTATTTTGACAACTGGGTCTTGCTAGTGGCTTGCCTGTACTAAGGTTTCTCTCCTGATATAGCTGGGCTGGTAGATCTCCCCAGTGGAGTGGCGATGCGAGCCAATAGGTGTTTTCCTACCAGCATAGCTCTACTCTTTTCCCAAATGACAAAGCTAAGCTGACCAAAGTCTCCTCTCTCAGCCTGGCTGCATCTGCACCAGCTATGGGATGCAATGGCTATGGAGGGGTGAGCTTTTCACATCCTCCAGGAAACGTCCCTAGGCTGGCAAATGCTGTAGTGTAGACCTTGCTTAGTTCTTGCTCTGAAAGTGGAACTGGGGCCCTGACAGCTTGGGACACTGTCTTTGGGAAGGACACTCTCACCCACCCACACGCCTGAAATGATTCCTTTTCTCCTAGAGTGGAGAGAAAAAAAGCTTATGCATCAGGGTCCCTCAGTGGTTTCATTTCCTTTATCAAATCTCAGTCGAGCTGGAAGACTCTGTCTGTAGACAATAACAATAATCTCACAACACCTACCAGGCTAAGGCTGCAAATTCCACCTCTGGAATCCAGAGGAGGAGAGCTTATTGCTAACCTAATGCAGTATCTACTGGACGCAGATTAACTAAGGACCCTGAAAGCACTCTGGCCTGTTTATTAAAGGTTCTGTGGCAGGTGACATGAGGCATGTGGATTTCCTATTTTCTCCCACCCCAGTCTTTCCTTCCAATATCACAGATACAAGAGTGACTTCCAAAGAGCTGCTACCAAAACATACATTAGCAATCTTGATTCCCTTCAGGCACTGAGCATGAGCAAAAGTCTCTTGGGAAAATATAGTTAAACAATAGCCAGCTTGTCTCTTTTTCTCCTCCTCTTCTGTCTGGTTTGTACTTTTCCCCTTGGATTTGTTACCACATTTACCAAGACCTTTGCCATTCACACACAATGATTCTATAGCGCCTTTACCCTCTCTGGTTTTGCCGGAGGCTAAACCCCACAAATCAGATTTATCAATACAGTATCTTACTCTGGGTCAGCAAAATATTTCATACCATCTGAACTTGCAGCCTGACCCAGCATTGTTTTTTTTCCAACCTGATACTGCAGTTCTCTCACACAGAAGAGTTGTCCTGACTCTAACGGGACTGTCCTTGGGAGCAAGTGCTGCTCTGTGGGAGGACAGGCTGCAGAATCTGATCCTCAGGAGAAAACACAGTGTAAAAGATATTATTGTCATTTCACCTACCCCAGGAGATGATCAGAGCTATGAAGAAGCCAAACCACTGACTTAGACTCTCAGGTTCTTGTTTAAAAACCACCAGAGCCACCCGTGGCTGATTAGATTGGTCCTTGCTCTATTTACATGTAGCATTTAGTTCACTTCGGTATTACAGTACTGGGACGTGTTACCACTCCTGACCATTTGGGGATGATGCTATCTCTACGGATTTAGCATTTTAAAGAACACTCCATACTGGAGACTTCCACCTGCAGTTTGGAATGCGTACATTGGAAAACCCAATTAAGAGGGGTTACAAAACTATGCCTGTCAAAGCAGCAGCACCCCTGTATGTACATGACACCTTGGTTTGCAAAGAACGCTAAGGAAACCTCAGTGAGTTGACATCAGCTTCACTGATTTCAATAGAGCTACAATAATTTATTTCAGCCAAGACTCTAGTCCTAAGCATTAGGATGTGAGTAGTTTCTAGTTCACTCTCCCCTCTTTTGATTTCCCATTTCTGCCTCTGCAGGATGGTGTTGTATTCACCTACATGAGTCTTGTAGTTCTGCACCAGCCCCAATGTCTGTGCTCCATTCTGTCCTTACACTTACACCTCAGGCCTTGAAACCTGCCCAGATTTCAGCCTCCTGCTTGACAGGGAGGGAACTAGGTGGCTGATTCCAAGAGGTATCTGCAAAATTGAAACCTGTTTTAATTTTGCTGCACCCACCCCAAAAGCAAACAGTTGCTTTCCACCAGACACCTGATTATGTTTTTGAGGTCTGCTTCTTCCACGCTGTTCTGCAGGGCACTCTGGATATAAATTGGATGTGCAACGGTAGAAAGTCAGAGGCACAATGGAAAGCAATGGGAAAAGACAGAGGAGGTGTAAAAAAAAAAGCTGTTGATGGCAAGTGTGAGCAGCTTAGCTGGCAAGTTTTGATGCTGGCCATTTGAGCTCATAAGATACTTCAAATGGTGACTGTTGGTGTTTGGGAAGTGTGGCAGGGAGACAAGGCAAAGGTCAGCTCTCAGATCAGCCCAATACATATCAGCTCCCAACAGTCTATTCCCCCACCGGCTACAGCTCCCCCTCTGAGCACGGGAGAAGTTCAGTGACTAGGGAGCAAAAAAAACTGTCAAGAACTCCTGGATAGATCCAAAAGCACAATTTTGCCTGCGGGTAGGAAATTACTTCGACAAAGACCTGAAGCTACAGCTCACTCCTGTTTAGAGCATTCAGAACTAGTGCAGGACGGAAACAAAAAAAAGAGAGAAATAAGAGGTAAAAATGAGGCAGAAACAGTGAGAGAGAGAGAATCCTCAAAATCTCAAGCAGGACATATTGGAACAACCCTCCCAAAACAGTCCATAAAAAAAAGCAGGAGAGAAATGTTAGGAAAAAATGTCCACCTGAACTTTTTGCAAAGATCTAGATCCCAAGTCTAGATGGTCAAATCAGTATGCAGGCAGTGTAGCTGTGATCTTCCAAGTAAACTAGTGTTTACACTAGATGCTACAAGAATCATTCCTATAGAAACACAATAGGTATGAGCCTAAACAAAAAACGTGCGGGTTCTGGTAAGCTGCCCACATTTGAAGACTGGGCCCTATTAGTTTCCAGTTAAAAACTGGCTACACTGGGAAAATGGGAACCTGGAATAACTGATCACAACACTGCTGTTCCATGGAGTTGCTTCCCAGCTGTTTTCCCCAGTCACCCGCTTTCCTGTGAGAAGTACCCCGCCTCCCACAAGGTGATGGTATGCGAGTGTAGAAAACAGCCTCTCTATACTTACTACAGTGACAAGTATTCAGAATCAGAGGTAAGTCCTTTGATGAAAGCAACACATGGAGGAAAGAGAAAGGAAGAGATTGTGGAGACAGACAAACACCAACACAGTGAGACACAATGCGACACAGTGAGAACACCAAGAACTACACCGCTTTCTGGGCTGCTGCTGTCCATGGTTGTTTTGTTGTGGGTTTGGGGTTTTTTTGCCTACAACACCGTCAGATGCATTCATTGTTTCCAGTGCTCTCAGGCGTGCAGTCTTACAAGCATGCTGATAACAAACACTGACAGCTCTACCCCCAGGATGGCACAGACATTCACAAAGGTGACTTGATTTGATTTGTGCTATCCAGAGCCATCTGCTTGGTGGCCAGTGTGGAGGGAATTTGGTGGTTTCTGTCCCTTTCCCAGGAAGGGGGGAACATCAAGTTCACTGAGCACTAAGTGTCCTCCTCACTGTCCAACACATCTCAGTGGCCAGGGAAAGTACATAGGTCCATGGAGACTGAGTTGTCAGGTCAAGGTGGAGGCACCCAGGTGAGATGACATAAGAAAACTTGTACTGCCTCTGCCTAGGCTGATTGACTTACATGAATGCAGAACTCTGGCTTGGAGAGCTACTTTAAATTTTCACTGTCACAAGAATGCAAAGGTCACATTTTTAGAGGGCTACCATTTTGAGAAGGATGGTATATGGAGACAATTTGGATCGAGACCACCTTAGACTCCACCCAGTCTCTTTCTGCATCAGTTCCCCCTTTCAAATGAGAGCAACATCTCCTCTTGAGTGGTTTGTCAGGACCAAGGCTGCTCAGGATTTACAGCGATAATAAGCCAGCCACCTTCTAGCAATGTAACACAGAAACTCTCTTGTCTTTCCACTGGTGGAAGGTGCCCGCTTTAAACCTACAGCATGCCCATGCCTCGCTGCAGAGTTTGGAAGGTGTCAGCTTTCTCTGTGGATTCATGCCTCGTGTATACTGTGGGCACACCCACCCATTGCAGCATCTGTCCTAGGCTGCAGGCACAAGTGCTCCAAGTGTCTTCATGCAGCAGAACGGTGATAACATGACCTGGCACACAAGCCCAGCTTACCATCTGAAGACTTAGTGGGGGATAGGGGTGGGCTCTTGATTGGAGACTTTGTGGGGCTTTGCACTGGGGAAGCTGATGGAGACTTTCCAGGAGAAGCCAGAGATTCCTCCACGCTGGTGTCTTTCTCACCTGGGTAAAGAGAAGACATTTATGTGCTGCAGAAAAACAGGATCCCAGCCAACTTTACCTGCCTGCTTACCTTCTGAATAGGGCTGGTTGGAATGGGGTCTGCAAAGGGACATTGCAAAATGGAAACATTTTGCAGACATAGCTGAGTTCTGTCAAAAAGAGGCATTGGGCTTTTGTGGGAGAAAGAGACACTCCATATACCAGTGAGTGGGGTATGAGTCAAGATGGAGATGGAAAAACTTTTTTCTACATCAGCCAGAATAGGGATCTGAACCTAGGTTCCCACCCACTTTCTAGCCAAAAGCAGGCATTTTTGCATAATTTCATTCTCAGAGAAACATCCCAAAACTTTTTGTCTCATTCCAGTGAGGGAACAAACCCAAACATCAACACCTTAAAAGCTGCCAAAAAACAGAGCCTTTTGTTTCGCTCTGCTTCTGAGTCACATATTTATACCTACTCGCAATACTGAAGAAACCACTGCTGTTCCTCCCCACAGGAGATTTACCGTCTAGTCCCAGTTCCTTTCTTTCCACTTCTTTCTTGTATTCCTCTAGCTCCTGGTCTGTTAGCTGGCTGAATGGGTTGGGGGGTTCTGGCTCAGCAGGTATCTCCTCCTGGAGTCCATCCTTTGTCTCCATGTCTGCTTTGGAAGCCAGCTGACTCTCTGTAGACTGAAACCAACCACAACATTGTACTGTCTGCACCCCAGGGCTGGTCTTAGAAGCCAATTAACTATCCTAAGCACCTTCTTGTGTCACTAGCAAGGTTCAGTTTTCCTAGAGTCAAGCACACTGTTCAAGCACGTGCCTCCTGAGGCCAACACAACCCTCTCTTCAGGTCCCAATGGGAAACAGTTCTTGGACAATTCCACCTGGCGTAAAAGCAGAAGAAATTCTGGGAGACTGGTGAGGAGATAACTCCTTTGGGGTATGAAACTTAGCTCCATGTGACAGAAGTATCCCATGAGACTGCTGCAGGCGGAGGCAAGCTACCAGATTCATCAATGTGCATCTCCACTTGACATTGCCCTCCATGGAGTCACAGCTTGGAGGGGCACTTACATTCTCACCAAAACTTCATCAGCCCTGAGCCCCCTGCTGTGCCTCTGCCCTGGTTCCCAGAAGTACTCTCCTAGTGTCCCTAAGTTGTTGCCTTCCACTGTGCCTGCAGCTGGTGTCTCAGACTGACCCTTATAACTAGAGAAAAGGGGCTAGCTCAGATTACAGGTCCCTTGAACTTGGTGCAGTAGCAGAAGTTGTGTTTTGGATATGAAATCAGATCTGAGCCTATTTGCTTGTAGCGTGCACAGGGCTGCTGACTTGGTTGAAGGGCAAGGAAGAGGTTTGCTCCCAAACAGTCCATCCCTATAATTATGAAAAATGATATAGGATATGATAAATATGCCATATTGTTAATGTAAGTACCGGACTTCTGCTCTTCTCTGCTATCACGCTAGCTAGCAGCTGAGACTGGGGTCCCGCTGATTTCACATCCTGGCGGTTCTGTTCTCGAATCTGTAGGCAACAGATAAATACACAAGTCAAAGCTGATGTGTACCAGAAGGACTAAATGACGTAAGGAAGTAGCAAAAAACAGAGTGTGCCTTGATTCTCCACTGCTTTGGTGTCATTTGCATTAGGGATAGGAACAAGTGACATAGCACCAGTTAAAATGGTAGCACCATGCACTGATGTGTGGAATTGGATGTTCAGTCCCTGGATTCTCTCTTCTGTGTTGTTCACCTGAATCCAGGTTAGTTCAGTAGTCCCTTAATGCTCTTACCATCTGGTGACTGTTCCATTGGCCAGTATGGAATGAACCAGCATGTTTCTGTCTAGCACTTAGTGCAGTGACTCTCAACCAGGGCGTCATGGCACCCTGGGGTTCCTTGAGATTCTTTCAAGGGTGCTGCAGGGTGCCACACACTGAAAGGTGTACAAATGTGATTCACAAGATAAACCCAGAGATTTCAAATAGGAACCCATTGTGTTAAAACTATTCTGACCTGCTGTGGTCCTTCTGAGTTCTTTGCAACAAAGGAATGGCTTTATTATTTTTTCTGTAGTCAAAAAACAAATGAAAGTGAAGGGCTGGCATTTTGTGAGGGTGCCTTGAGTCTATCAAGGGGTGCCTTGAGTCCATTAAGGTTGAGAACTACTGAGCTGGTGGCTAGCTAAGCTGGGCATCACATTGGCACTCTGGAACCTGTGCTGGCTGCTTCTGAACTGAATGGATTACAGGAATGTGGGTCATTCAGGCTGTGACTGAGTGGTATCTACAAGGTGGTATCTACAAGGTGATGTTAGGGAAGGGATATGTCTTGCACAACTGCTTCCCACACTAACTGCTCTGGATGTACATGAACGACTTGGATTTCCGGAGATGCTTTTCTGGACCCCTTCATGAGCACTATCTCTGAAATGTTTAAGAGAAATAAGACAAAATTGTCTCATCTGTTGCTTCCAGATGTTTCATTGCAATGGAACCTCAAAGGACTCTGCTGTATCTCAGTCAGCCCATGAGATCTTAATTCTTAGGAGGTCATCAGGAAGTGGGGATGAAGCCATACCTTGTTTCTCATTTCCAGCACTTCCTGTGGGTCGGTATAGAGAGGCACAAATTGGTTGGGGTTTTCAATTCGGATGGGGGTCCCACTGCTGCCTTTCTCCACCTCATCGGCCTTCATCCACTGGTGGACAAAAAGAACAGGAAATGTCAGGGAAAGGGAAGAGAAAATGTATCAAAATGAGACCCACAGTGCCATGAAGACTGGGAAAAAATATGACCCTTCATTTCTGACCCAAAGCAGACTTTTGGACACTCTAACATTAACAGGCATTCCCATCTGGGCTCTTTACAGCTTTTCTGTTTCAAATAAAACCGAAATGCTTCCCTTCAAAAATGTCAGGACAAAAACATCTTTATTTCTTTTTCAGTATTTGCTTCTTCCCACACTCCCTGCTCCAACACATCTGAAAAGACTTGGTGAAATGGACAGAAATTTGTGAAGTTGACCCAAATCAGCAGTTGTGAGTGGAGGAAAAACACCCTTCAGCTGTAAAATTTCACACTGTTCAGAGCCCCTGTACCGTGGTTTTGCTCCTCTGGGTGCCCACATTTCCCTGGTTCTCATCAGCAACATTGACCCGAAGATAAGTGTTGGGCGTGTTTAGCCAGCGGGTCTTCTCCTTCTGTTGTTTCTGAGCATGCTGTCGGAGGGTGGAGATGGGAGCAGCCTCCTCATCAAAGATGAACGCTGTGACAGTGGCAGGGATTAGCACGTCACTTTTATGTTTGGCTTTCTCCTGGACAAATGGGTAACGATACGCGTAGCCTGTTCTATAACCCTAGAAGGACATACATACACAGAATGTGTGTTTTAGTTGCAAACACTAGCTTTTGGGGTTGGTTAAAACATAGGGGAAAAGTTGAGAGAATGGTGTTACAGGTTGTAAAACAGCTCTACTGTTTTGGCTGTGTGAAAATTTTGGGGGCATATTTTTAATTGCAATCTTTGCAAGCATCTTTTGTTTTTCCAAATTCAGATGCTCTGTAAATGATTTACCATAATCTGTCTGCCCCCCACTCCCTGCACGATAATAAAAAACAATGAAAAAGGCTGATACCAGTTCAGACCAGCCGTGTTAGCTCTCTGTCTGTCTGCAGACAAACCTACACTGGAGACCAGGTCTGTTCTCCAACCATGAGAGTCTGCAGCATGTCTTGCTTCTGGCTGGCTCCCCCATAGATTACTAGTTCACAGGGAGGCAAAGCAGAGTGCTCTTTGATGCGAGAAATGCCAAGGGTTCAGCTGCTGTGACTACTGTGTCAGAGGCAGTCTTAATAGACAAGCGGTGTGTTTGTTCTGTGGAGTTCTGGGGAAGAGATGGTCAGACAGTCTGATTCGTTGGGTGTGAGTAAAGGATGGCTCCACTGACAAGAGTGGTGTTTATGAACTTTAAAAGTTGGGGTTGGAGAATAATCAGGCCCAGCACTAGACCTGTAACTTTCAGAGTCCCAGAAACAAGGAACAGAATAGCATTGTACTGCATTGATAATGTGGCAGATTTGGTAAAGGATAACATATATATATATATATATATATATATATATATATATATATATATAGGTCCAGTAAACACAGACCACAAACCTCACATGAACCACAGCTGCCTCAAACCCAGAACAGCAGGGCCTCCTATTCACTGCCCTTCTTTGCTACAAGTCCCCATAGAGCACCCAGATTTCAAAGACCAATAATGTGGTTTTGCTGCTGCACAGTCCTATTGCTGCAGTGCAGAGTCATTCATTTTGCCCTGGCACAATCAGTGCATACAGAGAAAGATGCTTCGAATGCCAGCTCAGTGACTGGGAGAGCAGAGGATCTGATGGGAGAAGATTTTCCTTATTCCTCTAGGTGTAATGTAGATCTTGGCTCACAAACAGGCCTTAGGGTTTGGATTGGGAGCCTCAGTGTCCCATATTTCATGGACTTTGAAGTCCAGATTCTTGGTCTGGGGGCTTTGTCCAAAGGAACGTATTTGGATAGTCCATTGCCTGTAACTGGAAATGCTAATGGCTTCATTAGCCTCCATTCCAACTAATGTTAGGGCAACTCCACTTTCTATCTGGAGATCATATATCTGACGTGTAGAGTTGCAAAGTATTTTATGCCTCTGACAATACAATCATCCTTTCTAGAGTGTATATTTAATGGAATGCCTTGCAGGAGTGAAACACAGCAACTATTTATATATTTTACAGGCATAGAGCAAACAAAGCTAGGCTGGGATATTATTTAGTGGGTTTCTGTTTTATGTTGTTATTCTAGTTGCCTTTTTAAAGTTGTTTTCTTCTAATGTTTGCTCGCCTGTTATTTACTATAAGTCCCACTGAGTTCCCCACAGGGTGGCATAAATAAATAAGCAAATATTTAGCTTTGCATGGCAACATCACAGGCCTGTTTAGTACAAGAAGGTGAGAAGAGTGCGGCGTCTTATGGACACTGAAATCAGAGAGAATTGCAGCGAGTGAGGGGACACTATAGTGACAACTGGGAAGTCCAAGTGGTCATACCAGGTTATCTAGCATTCTCATAAGAGCTTCAAACTCGTGTTCTCCAAGGCGGCTCTTCTGCATAGGTCCAAACATGCTCCCAGCCCATCGGACTGACCCAATATCGTGGGGTCTGTACTTCTCCCGCTCCAGCACAATCAGATTCTCAGCTCCTCCAGCACTAGACAAGGCTGAGACCTGAAACAGAGCACAGAGAACCCACTGACAATAGGAGGAATCACAGAATCAGTCAGGAAAACATGGATAAAGCCAGGTTCTCTGCTGGTTTCCATCCTTTTTGGGCTTCTCAGGTAGCAGAGTAGAAAGACTGCTGGCTAGAGTTGGCTAGGTATGAATTCTCCATGTGGAAGGGAACTGAAATCAAGCCATTAGAGCTGAGCTGTAACCCACCATCCCAATCCATCTCCCACTAGGGTGGGAATCTGGGCACACTGGAGCAGTGAAAAGACTCCCTTGCCATTGAAGCTCTAATTGTGCAGTCACACATACTGGTCATGTGCAGTGGAATTGGGCCCAATTTATTTACAGAAAAATCCTTTCCCCACCTCAGCTTCAATGTGTCCCTTGAGTTGCCCTAGTTTGGAAGGCCCAGGGAGGTATAAATCAACATAGAACAGCCCTAGACTCCCCCAAAGACACTTGCTGCCTGCCAACCAGCCAGGCAGCACAAGTGCTCATTTTAAAACAAAAGCCAAGAACCCACCAGAATCGTCACAAATGCAAATATGGGAGCAGCAGCTATTCCCCTGGGGAGTCAGTGACTGGAGAGCCAGGAGTGAAGTAAGAAGCAGGACTCCCAGTGACAGCAGCAATATTCCTCTGTCAACATGGTTGCATGTGGCAATCTAGAAGGCTGCAAAGTGCACACCCTGGATTCCTAGCCCGGCACCTGCCGATGGCTCCCAGGCTCAGCCTCAGTAATGTGCTGACCTCATTTTTCCAACTGAGGAACTAGGTCGATGCACAGAGGGGAGGATGAGTGCATTGATAACAAATGGCCATGATTGCAACCTTGCTGCAGAACAAACACAATTAAACCTGCTGCCTTCCTACAGGGCACCGGCCCTGCTCTGCTTGAGAAGAGACAAGCAGGACAACATAATTACTGGATTGTGCTTTCCAGTTTTGCTGACAAGATGTTGTTGGGTGGGGGGAACACACAAAGGAACTACACAATTGCTGTAGGTGGTCTTGGTTTTAGACTTTATTGTAGCTCCAGGCAAGGAGCCAGGGCAGAGATTTGAGTAGTGATGCTGATAAAGATTTCAACAGCTGGTGGAATCACTTCTTAATCTGAGCTATACATTGCAATGAATGTACTGCCTTTGTCAAATTTTGGATTCTTAGTAAAATATATATATATATATATATATATTTTTGTAGTAAGTGCAGCTCTTATATAGCAAGGAGCAGCCAAACCAAGCAGTGGAGACTGTGGCATTATCACAAACAACCTGAGGCCACCTCTTCCATGCACAGAACACCCACTTTGCTGGAACCACTCAGCTTTCTCAGCTACACGTTTCCAAAGACCCTGTTCATCCCACAGGGTGCATAGGAAGCTAAACAAATGTTTACTCCCTTTGCCGAGCATCCCACTACATCCTGCCCACTCTACATCTGTTTTTCCTGAATTAAAAAAGGTTCTCTGTATGTGTATGTATGCATGTGCTTGCATGGTGGCTATTTCTAGGGGTGAGCTAAGTAAGAGCTGAAGCTTGCAAGCTGTAAGCATATTTCTATACTCACATCTGGGCTCATGTTGATTTTGCAAGGGAGGACAGTTTTCTAAATCTGCTTTTGTATATGCACAGTTAGTGTTTGTTAACATTTGGCCAAAGCCCCCAGTTACAGAAAAGTCACTTAATCTGAGCTACACACTGAAACGGATGTATTGTCTTTATCAAATTTTGGGTTCTTAGTTAAAAAAAAAACAAAAAAACAAAAATTACTGTTTTAAGTACAGTTCTTGTATAGCAAGGAGCAGACAAACCAAAATGCCTTTTGGGTTAGGTCTGGGCTGGGCTGTGCCACATTATTTTTAGTTTGTATTTGCATTGTACACAGCAGGGAAGTGCTCCTGAAACCAGCACACAGAACATGTCACAGCTCTGTCATGCTGAACAGTATATTCAGCTTTAGGAGCACTGACTCCATTCACTGCACTGAAATTACTCCTGAGTTAATCCACTGCATGCAAGATCCCAAGCAGACCCCACTGCCTTTTATTCATCATTACAGCTCCATGCACTTTACGGGATTGCACATAGGTAACAAACAGCTGTAGCAAGCCATGCAGGAATTGGCTGCTTTTGTGCCCCTACATCCGTGCTTGCTGAACGAGGGAGGTTTAGATGTGGGGGCTCATCAGAAACACTCTATTGTGAACAATATCTGTTCTCAGTAATGACAGAACTTGTGTTGATATCAATGGGAACAAGTTACCCTCGTGCCAAGCAATTCTGGAAGTCTCATTCAAAACCACAGCTGATATCAGAGGAGAAGCCAGCTTCCAGCTACTGAGAAAACTGCTGGCAGCAGTTTAAAGGCTTAGCTGGGGTTCTCTGAAAACCAAAAAGCTCCAAAAAATCTGTTGTTTTTCCTCTTGAAACTGTTCCAGAGTTGGACCGTTAGAGGGCAATAGATGACTGACAGAGTCAAGGAAGGCTGAGCTTTCATCCTCTGCAACACACCAGTGGGTGGATGTATGTTTCTACTGTGTTACTGCAGCATGGGCAGACACACCCCAGCTCGATCGATCTGAACTACATAGCGTGGGTACCATTCGCAGCAAAGAGGCAGCACTTAAGCAACCCAAGGATTCCCGGGGGGTCTCTTAGAGCCCAGGCTGAAGTCTGTGCCACTGCTGTTGTTAACTGTGCCAGCTAGATTCAAGCTAGATGACATCATAGTTATGACTGCAGCGTAGACATACCCACACTCTATACCAGCCTGCAAACCTTGATCTGCCCCACGGGGGGGAAATCTCCCAAGTGTCAAGTGCAAAACAAGCTGTTGCCATCATGCTGCCAACCATACACAGAAAAGCACTGGACTAGTCCAGCTTCATGTTTAGAAATGTTGCAGTGATCCTGTTGCAAGATCTAATATCTGGTATGGCTACTTTAGAAAGCTGTAGCTTACACAGTAATATGCATACAGGGGAGTCAGAGGTTCATTTAAAGAAAAAACTTCCCTGATAGACACAATGCAGGCCTGTCTCTGCACTTTACCACTACCTATCAAACTGCTGTTAGGATTAGAAGGGAGAACAAACTTTGTTGGCGTGTTTAACTTGTTGGAGGTACTCTGGTACTACAGTGGTCCAGGCCACATTCACGTACCAGTAGACATATTGGGAGTAGACCAGTGCGATGTTTATGGCAGGCAGTGCTTGGGAGCCCAATAACTGCATGCTGAAATGAGAAGCAATTTGGGAAACGTGCATTCGCCTCCCTAGGTGTTGTCCAAAGGACTGCCCTGTTGGAGAGTCTCACCTGTATCTCACAAGCTGCCTGCAAGTGAAAGATTTTATAAAATGCTTCTTCCACGGTATCTCCCAAAGCAATTACTCCATGATTTCGCAGCACCAGGATCTGCAAAAAGAGAAAAGGCCAGCTGAAAAAATGGTCATCACCAACAAATGTATGTCTGTATGAAGGAGAAGAACCAGTCCAGGGAGAAGTCTAAATCTCTCTACCACTTCCTGGATGATAAGGAGTTCAGACACCTCATCTGGCTTATTGGCTATGTTACTCTCAGCTTCTGCACATGGTACCCAGCCCTCTGCGGTATCGGGGGTGTCAGAAAAGCTTTGCAAATGCTAATGCATTAAGCAACAGGTATATCCTCATGATCTGCTATGCACTAGGTGCATCTACACATGCTAGTAATGTGACAAAATAAACTCCAGTGCAGTTTGCACCAGAGTTAGCTGCTCCCGGGCTCAGCATCTGCATGTGTGCCCAGAACCACAGCACTCTGAGCTGGGCTGGCAGACCAGCCACAGGCTGGCTGGAGGCCTGGGGGGTCAGTGCTGGGCTCCCAGGTTGTGATGTTGGTTGGTGAAGGGACTAGCTGGGGCACAAGGGTGCTAAAGTGCAGGGCCAGCCAGGAGGCAGCCCACTCACTTTAGCACCCTCATGCCCCAGCCAGCCCATCTCTATCTACACAGGTGTTTCAACTGAACAAATTATTCTGCTGCAGGATAGTACTGTCTCCAGTAGTACTATCTGAGGACAGTACTATCCTACAATGGAGTTAATTAATTTACTCTGCCATAATACTGGGGCACATGTAGACTATGACGCTTTCCTGCGGAGCTAATTAGTCAATTCCACAGTAAAGTGTATGTGTTGATGCACCCACAGATGAGGGAACTGAGACAGCAAAGCAGTTGTGTGGGCCTAGTTTGACAAGACTAAAACCCAGTGCCTTAACTCACATTTGGAGCCACAGCCTCAGGCCAGGTCAGCATGGGAACCTCAGTCCTGATCTGGTCTTAAGCTAGAACCTGCACACCAACCCAGATCTGATCTGAATGCTTCTTCAGCTCACACCCAGTGAAACATTCCCACAGCTATGCCCTTAGCAGCTAAGCCAAATAATTATAGATCCATCTTATTATCTGAGGAGTGTAGTTTCTCTTAACCTTGCATGTTGGTCCAAGGCACTTCTGTAACTCAATCCTGTCTGCCTCTTCTTCCATCTCACCATTGAAATCAAAATACACCATATCGCCCACCAGCAATGCATCATGAGATATAGGCAGGACACCACATTTCATGGCAGACACCTGGGGAACAGAGAGAAAGCAAGTAGGACACCAGTGAGAAGAATCAGCATCTTGGTCCCCTTGTGCAGACACTAACATGCCTGTACAGTTCATTTTTAGCTTCCAGGCCACTATGTAGTGGGAGAAAGGACCAACAGTAGCACTTTTATGGATCTGGTCTTGAGAGCTCTTGTCTGTGAAATCAGCGGGATTTGTATCGCTGGATACTTCCTAGGATTAGATCCTCAGAACTCAGTTGATCAGACAGGTGCATAAAACTGTGAAGAATGAGTGGGTCTGTCACTAAAAAATCAGTATGGAGCAAGACCATCCATCCTTAGCACCAGCAGTAAGGCACCCCTGAAAAATGATGATTTTGTACTAATTGCATTTTTGCCTTTCGTCACTTATTTTTCCATCTCCCACCATTTCTGTGGCCCTTAAAGGTTTTGCATCACTGCAGAGGCAGAATGCTTTTGACTAAATATCATCCCAGTGAAATTGGAAGGTAAAAGTATTTCTTCACTAACAGAATGGGAAAATATCATCAAAGTGCTATGACAGGCTAATAGGGCCCTTCACCTCCACAATGACTTTGAAATGGGGGTTACCCCAGGAACCTTGACACCTTTGTCCCTTCTCTTCCTCTTGGCTTCATAGCCCAGCCCTATCAAATGTGAGGGTGCGTCAACAGCATGCTGCTTGCCCATGAAAGTAGGCAGCAGGCAGTTCTCCCACAAGGCAGAAGCTGCTCTATAAATCAGTCGCAGAGCTGGTATACATGGCTCTGGGAGGGGTGCACTCTCCGATTTTCCACTGCCCTGGCAAACTGTGGCCGTCAGCATGATGGATGGGATTCCTTACTGCAGCGGTGACAGGCGTGTGCAAGTGGATAATGCATCTCACGTCGGGTCTGGCCGCATAAATGGCTGAGTGCAAGCTGAATCCTCGCGTGTCCACTGCAAAATTGGTGCTGCCCTGCTCCACCACTTCACCCAGGATGTTCACTTTAACCTATGGTGAGGAAAGGAAGTGGGGCAGCATGAAAACACAGAGCCTGCCTACACAGTGGGTCACCCCCATTTGTTCTTGGGCAGCTCCATCCTATGGCCCAGATGGGTCTGCAGTGTGGGAACATGCTTCCCTGAGGCTGCTTCTCCACCTGTCTAGATCACATGCCCTCTCTGAGTCTTGAAACGCTTTGCAAACATTAAGCACAGGCTTTACAAAGCAGACCAGTATCATTATCTCCATCTTACAAGTGGGGAAACTATGGCTTGGAGAGGTCTGAGGTCACCCGGCCACCTGGAAACAACCCTGGGAAGACAGCCCAAGTCTTCTGGGACCATGTTCCATGTTTTTAGAACAAAACTGTATTGGCTACTGTCTCAGCCTGATCCTTTGGACCTTTGGCTGAAACCGGTTGTGCTCTGCAGGCTTTCAGGCTGCAGGTGCATGTGGAACACCCTAGTCCTTGGGAGCCAGCTCTGGCTCAGTGGGCAGATAGGGCTTCCATATATATAAGGGAACTAGTCAGAATATTACAAATTTCTAACCTAAAGTTTAAAACTTTGAACAAATGGTGGGATTTTCATGCATCTTCCTTCCTCCCACATACCAGGGACACATATATTTACAAATTTGAGGACTTTGTGAATTTGGGAGCAAAATTTCCTGCATTCTACCCCTTTTTTGCCATCTCTGCCCTCAACCTCTTTGAATGCAGTGCCAGAATTATGAGCCTGGTTTGCTTGATGGACAGGAGAGAGAGAAGGGAAAGGGATGGCAGAGCATAGAGGCATATCTTCGCAGACTCACCAGGCTGGATGCTGTGACTTCATTACAGGAAAAGCCTTTGGGGCTGATCAAGAAATGATCCTGTTCTTTGCTGACGCGCAGCTACGAAAAGAAATACGCTGTTAGGGTTAAGTAGGTAATTTTTAGATTCCCACTCCCCCACTGGATCCCAGCTCTTGGATTGTAAGAGACATTTCAGGAATCACTTCAGACCTAAAGGAAATGACAGTGTGGAAGGGATTCAGCCGAGTAGGTCGTAATGGGCTACAGAGCAATTTGGTTGGACATACTCAAGACTTAGTCTGCACTGATGGTTAGCAATGTCCCCACTTGTGAATCTATCACTGGTTCCACTAGAGTTAGGAAGGGACCTGTAGTAAGGACTCCACTGTTAGCATCATGCTGGCTAGTTGTGATTTGATTAGGGTTAGATAAAGTATGTTGGCAAACATGCTGGCAGCCAGACCTAGCCCTGACAGAGCAGCACTGGTGGTAGAGAAATCTTATTGTAGGCACAACCCAGCTCTTATGACAAATTCTTGAGAATTTTTCATGTCAGCAGGCAGGCAGGATGTCAGCTTTCTCTCTTATTCAACAGATGGCACTACCACCAGAGTCACAATGCTCCCTCCCTTGCTTACAGTACAACCTTGCCTCCATCACCACCACCACCACCTCTCCCGTTGTCCAAGGTTATATTGCTTAAGATAGCTCTCACCTGGCCATTGATCTGTCCTAGTGCTGCCTAGCCTGTGAGACCTGACAGCACCACAGCTCAAGCAAGACAACAGTAATACAAAGAAGAGTTTCATGGGAAGTTACAAATATGATAATAAAGCAACCCCTAGTGCCATTTCTTGTCATCTGCATTTCACTGTCCGTCCTCCAGTATCTGAGATTCCATCCTGTTGAATTTGGATCTCAGACCAGTGGGGGAGTCAGACTTGACTGACCAAGCTTGATTGGGTCACCATGGGGAGGAAAAAAATGCTTAACAGATTGTAATAGGGGCAGAAATAAAAAGGAGGTCAGTGGCAGAGAGAAATTTGAGAACAATACAGTGCATTCCTTGGTCACATACCATGTGGCTGTGCTGGAGCCAATGGATTAGGCAGGCTTTGATCACAGAGATAATGGGAAATGGCATTTTTTGGCAGGTTCTGTGCATTTTACTACGTGTCTCTTTTGCGTCTAGTGGTCAACTAGTCGCCTCTGGTCTCATTTTTTGTTGGATGTAAGGCAGTAGAGTTCTGCTGCAGGCAGTGGACAAGCAAAAATGTACATCCACTCATCTGGCCCATTTTGGTTACTGAATGGCATAGAAGGGAACACAGTTCCCTACTGGGTAGAGGCAGAGCAGGGAAGTCACTGCTGGATGATTTCTGACCCTCTATCCAAGCCAAGATCAGGCTCAACAGAAGTAGGGCATATATGATCATTGGCAGGTGCCAGAAGAGAATGCACTGACACCCTTAATTCCCATTGACAGGATCAAATTGCTGACCCTATGCTTCAGTGCTGTAGGATTGCAAGGGTTTTTCTCTTCCCTTTCTCCTAAATGCTATGCACTGGTTTTGACAAGATACCAGCCCTGGCACTGAGTCAAATGTTGCATTTGCAGGCTGGCCACAAGATACAGCATGAGATTAGAAATATCCGACCCCAAGGGCTCTCACAGAGACCTGGAAATCATCCCCTTGTTCGGCGAACCCTCATATTCTTTACTTCCTCCTATCCTGATCTGATCCACCCTGGTAACCAGAGGACAGAAAAAGTCTACATATTTAACTGAGCCCTGCACAATAGAGGCAGGGCTGCTAGGCAGAGCGTGCAGTCAAGTTCCAGCTATTGAGAAAGCCTAAATTGCCATCAGCTAAACTGAGGCATGACCTCACCGTGACATAGGTGCTGCTGATCTGGGCCCAGCCATAGATGTCTAGCAGTCGGTAGATGCTGCTGATCTTGCACCTCATGAGCCTCTCTCCTTTCACTAAGGACATGGAGTCGGTGCCATGGAGGTCATTGATGGGTGTCACTGTGGACAGATCTGAAGAAGAAAGGGAAAACCACTGAGGTGAATAGGTCTGAGGAGGTCACTGGGAAAAGGCACGGTGCTTTTCAGAGCTAGGAAGCATTCCAGGCCACAAGGCTCCCATGTATCACCTGCCTTCCCCAGAGCCTCAGCTCTTAGCTATTATCTTTACTGGGAGATTCCTCATCCCTGATCTTCACAGGTCATTCACACGGCCTAGCCCTCACTAAAGGATCTAGGAGACTTGACAGCAAGTTTCCTAGCATGAGTGCACCCCCACAACAGCCACTGGAGAAAGGTGGCTAAGACCCATAATTTTTTAGAGCTGGACAGTGAAAGAGATTGATGAGCCAAGTTGCCCAAAGATGTCAAACCCAAGGTACCCTCTTATGGGGACCTCCAAGGTATTTGAACAGCTCCCCACTGAAAAGAAGAAAGCAGTGCTTAGATGTCCCATGGAGGCAGTAAGAAGTGAGGCCAGCTCATCCTGCTGAAATCTAACTCCTTTGAAAATCCCAGCCTCCCAGCTTTGGCAGCACTTGCCTGAAGCCCTAATCTTTGCAAACACTGCCTCCCCCCAAGCTGGTATCCCAGCAGCGATGCAGGCCGCTTCTCCCATGTGGGCCCTTACCCCCTGTGAGAAAGGTTTTGAACCAACATACTGAGTGGAGACGTGGGGAAGACAGAAGGAGCAGTACTGGCCATGAAGTCTGCGATCTGCCGGAGGGCCCAGATGTTGGAAGAGTTGTTCCCTTTCTTCATCTGCTCTTGGATAAGGCTCTCGAGCTCCTCCCTGAAAGACTGAAACAACAGTGATTTCACAGATGAGCCCTCACTTGGCCCACACTTCCCGGCAGCTGCGCTGAGAACTGTGGAGCGCCGTTATCTTCCTGATGATCAGCCACGCTCTTCCCTGCATGCCAGGCACTTCAGGGCAAACAGACACCTCAGCCTCATTCATTCAACACAGTCCTCATGCACGATTCTGACAGCTCAAGAAAGAACCTCTGGAAGAGGATGCAGTGGTCAGTGGCCTTCTCTTTGCTCCATTCGTTTAGCAAAAAAAAAAAAATCCCACATCAGGGTGTGGAGAAGAAGAGAGAGTCCTAGCATGTAACACTCTTATTCTGCAAGAGGAGAAGGCTTAACACTTTTTTAAAAAATGGCTTCTAATTGGGGATACTTCCATTTTTTGGTGCTCAACTTGAAGGTGGAGAGCTGGAGTTTCAGGAGGTATCTAAATAAGGACCAGATTTCCAGGGAAACCTGGCACCCAACCTACTGAGAGCTTTTAAGCATCTGGTCACTCTTTTGGGGGCTGATGGGCACAGGTGCCGAGCACCTGAGGTACTGCCTTCAGCTGGTTTAGCATGAAATGAATTGAGAGAGGCAACCATATTCCAGAAATCACCGATGGACCGTCTGATCCTAGAAGACAGCTTTGAGTTGGGCAGAATTAAAAATGGAAATCCCAGGCCCCCTCACTTTCAGCCATTTACAAGGTATCCTTTACTCACCGGACTCTGCAGGATCATGGTGACCCGTTTCTTCTGCTCCATCATGTTGAAGTCCTGCCGGAGGTCTGCCGCCATGTTCCGGATCCGTAGGTACTCGGGGTCATCTTCAGAGAATCTGTCAAAGTATCGCTGCCCAGGCGGTGGTGGGGAAGAGATGGCCTCAGGGGTAGTTTCGTTGCTCATCTTCCTGGTTGTCTAGAGCTGATTTCTTGGTACCTGTGTATAGGGGTGAAAGGGGTCAAGGGAAGTGAGGAAAACTGACTGAGCACTGACTAAGCAATTCATGTCATGTGAAAAACCTCAGTGGTAGCCTTAGGGTTGCTGGGGCCCTGGGGAAGAGAATCATTTGGGGCCCCTTAGAGGTATGTACTCAGGTAAATATTAAGCCACCACAGCTGTATTTTGGATCTTTTTAATATTCTTTGGGGGAATTAGATAAACAGTCAAGCATTAACATGCAAATAGAGCCTCTTCCTTGCAAAAACTTCACCCCGCCCCTCAAAAATTGGGCCCCCTAAAGGGCAGTTGCCCAGTTTGCCCTCCCCTAAGGCCATTACTGACCTTCTGGAGGGTGTCTGCATAAAGAACTGCAGGGCAACTTCATTAATACCAACAGGAAGGAGTGGTGTGCGAGAGAGAAGAAGAAATGTGTGTGAATGCTACGTGCATGTTACATGCAGAATTCCTGACTGGATAACATACCCAACACTGTCTTTAACAGCTGCAAGATCTGCAGCATTTGAACTAGGATCATCTTAGACAGCTTCCACAACACGGTTCAAGTTACAAAACCTGGGACCTCACACAAGTTGCCCAGATTTGGGCTTCTGAGTGAGCTTCAAATCTGTGCAAATGCTAGCAGGAGTGAGAAGCCTGAGTGTAATCATCCCACTGGTCCCCATTGGCACAGAAAGGATAGGGTGCCCCTTGGAGCATGGTAACTCTCCAGGGACCTGGTGCATGTAAATTTGGAAGCTTCCTCCCAATACTGTTATTTTAAGGGTTGATATTTTTCTTGGGGCTATCACAAGAGCTGGCATTGCTGAACACTGAGTGGGATGTCTGTCCATCACCTGCATCCCCTTATTATCCACTTGGACACAAGGCCTGGAGACTGGAAAGGCAACGAGCCCCTGAAGGAATGCAGAAGGCTTCTGTCTGGTCTCCAGGCCATAGCTGGGCCACTACCAGTTACTCTCAGCTTCCAGGAGGAAAGTGGAAATGAAACCTCAGTCAGGCAGAGATCTGCTCCTTGCAGGCAGTTGAAAAGCTGGCATCACGTGGGTCAGCAGAGACAGCAACAGACAGACCTAGATATTTATCAGTCCCCCAAGCTTAAAAAAAGAGAGCATCATTCACTGAGAGCTATGAACATCTTGAGTATGAATAACTTGGGTTCTACCATATATAATACTAGAGTCATGGGGTTCAGGGCTAAACCTCTCCAAGGGTATTTGGCTGTGAAGTTTTGGTTCAGTCCATGAATAACAGGGGTTCCCTGAAGCACAGAGGTCAGAACTGGAAGCCTGGAGTTCTGCTTTTGGGTTGGATAGTCTCTTGCACATGCACATGCACATGCATGCATGCACACCCATAATCTTCAAAGGCTCTTACTGCATTTGATATCCCTTGGCAAAGGGGAGGTCACTGTTTTCCCTTTTCATTCTTCCCTCTGTAAATCTGGACCCAACTCATGTTAACTCCAAAGTGCTTGGCACTTCAGGAGGCTGTAGGTCCACATTTAGGTACCTAAATAAGGACCAGATTTCCAGGGGAGCCCAGCACACAAGCTGCTGGGTTGGGTCTTGGAAGGGTCAACGAAACAAATCTCTGAGATGTCTACATTTCACTAAGGGACTGGGGATCTTGTCAAAGAAGATGCGATTCAGTGAAGTGTTTGGCTGCTATAAAAATCTCAGCTGCTGCTGCGTCTTGCTACCTGTCCACCCTGACACCCTGACCACAGGGCTTAGACATTGCAATTAGAAAAAAGAGCTAGAAATAAACAACAGGACAAAACAGGAAGCGCATATGAAAACCATAGGCAATGTACTTCTACTCCCAGCCCCAGCAAAAGAGCTTGCTTGGCTGGCTGTCCTGAATGACGCACAATCCTGGACTGATGCTATCAGATTCTGCAGCCCGGCGCCGTGTCTGATGCTTCAGGTAAGGCTGGGTGTCAGGGAGGGAATCACTACCGACTACACGTGGCTTGTTTGTATACAAGTCACAGCGAATTAACAGCATGAACAAATGCAATGAGTGGCACCGGGCTGAACAAGTCAGAGCAGCAAAACAGCATCCCCACTGCTCTGAGCAACACAGGGCAGATGGAAACTGCGATGCTGACAAACCAGAGAGCATTCTCTGGGCAACACCAGGCCATTTTGCCACTGCTCTGAGGAGAGGATGGTGCAGTACTGAGCGAAGGAGACACAAAGCTTCCCCCAGCCCTTCTGTGTGCAAGAGAATTGTGCAAACTGCTCCGCTCCTTGTCATCTGAATCACCTCTATCTCGGGGCACTGATATAGGGCCATGCGCCAGCTTCCTGCCCTCTCGCCTGAAGCCACTGCAGCGAGCTCAAGGACTGATGTTCCCTGGCACTTGCATAGTATTTCTGGGTAAAGCTGGATCTATGAGCTGTTCTACTATTAGTGGCATCATGCACAGGATCAGGGCAGATGGCACTGCAACGTGGAGGAGCTGGGGGACTAGATTGCTGGAGCCAGAACTGAAAGCTCATGCCCATAGCAGCAAGCTTGTATGGGTGAAAAGGCAGCCTCTTCCCTGCCAGCAATGATTCAGATGCAGCCCAGTTTCCTCTGCTGCTGACAGTTCTACCTCAGCCTGGCTTCATTTTCTAAACCTCGTTTCCTCCTTGATGCAACACCAGCTGCAATTTACAGTCCTCAGCATCCTTCATGCCAAAGAGGTTCTCAGCAATAGATGGAAGGCTATTTCATTCACCATGTCAATGCAGCCACTTCTGGGGTGGACTGACACTGTGTCAGTCATGCATGTCATGCAGCAGACAGGACTGGAGGCAAAGAAGGACATCATAAGCCACTACAGTAATGCAAACAAGCTGACTCCTGCTCTTATTAGTAAAGGCTTGTGATGGCCAGTGGCTTCTGGGGTCATCCTCTATACTAGAGCACTTTGGTGCCCCCAACCCTTTTAGGCTTGGGGGAGCTGAAGGGTAATGGATTCCCAGTGGAGTGCAGCAAGAAGTTAGGGTGGAGAGTTAATTCACAGGACAGTACAGGCAGGAGGCAACATGATGGGTAGAGTCCCTGTATCTTATGGAGCTCTCTCTGTAAACTCACTATGGCACCCAGATGCCCTGCTGATGGGCACAACACAAGTTCGTGGAGGAAGCAGAGCACTTTTAGGAAAGAGCTTTGCCTGCTCACTCCCTGCAGCATCCTGAGTGCTCTCCTCTCCAGGCACTATCCCACCTCCCAGCTTCAGAGATGAGAGCCAACAGGACCACAGCACACGTGACAGCAAATTCGCCGCCTCTGCTGCTGACACACCTGCTTCTTGCAACTATGGCTGACACTCCTCCAACATTTGCTGATGCAACTAGCAGGGCCATTCCATTGGCTGGGATCATAGCACAGGTTCAGTAAGTCAACAAGGCCGTGCTGAAAAACCATCCCTAAGAGACAGGTAAATGAAGTACCAGTATGATCACAATGGACTATTTTGATGCTAGAAATAAAACTTCTGATTTGTTTTCACTGATAGTTTTCCCTTCTTCTTTTTACCAACCCCATGAGCTCCTCAGGAAGGAAATACCTCTTCTTCCAGCCATGCTTTAGGACTAGCTCATCTTGATCTGTTTTCCCCAACTCAAGACCCTGGCAAGATGTGACCTCCGTGCCCTCTGATGCTGTCTAGCACCAAAGGGGACTGCTGGGCACTATCAGGTAAAAAGAGTGAGGGAGGCCGGAAGCTGCGTTTGAACTCCGACCGCTGCTTCCCGTGGTTCTCTGCCACTTCTGCTTTTGCTAAACAAACAGCTCTCTTGTTTCCATGGCAAAGGCTGCTCCAGAAATATATTTTGTAGAAATTGGCCCTGTGGTATGGACTAAAATAGCTCAAGCAGCCTGCAAGGTGCCTGGATTTCAGTGCTTGCAGAGAGAGAAAACTGTGGAGCCCCGCAGAGAAAAAAAATAAGACTGGTTTTCACCCTTTTGGTGCTGTCTCTTGGGGAAAACATTAGCCCTATATGATAAAATATGCTGCCCATCTCATTGCGCGTTACAGTCAGACAGGCATATGCAGGTTCTCTCTTTGCCAACAGGATTTGAGTTCTGGGCTGCAGATCAAAATTCCTGAGGGGACATTTCCCCTGCCTTTTTTGCTTCATTTGCTGTGAGTACGAGCTGCTGAGTCTCACCAAGTAGCATCACCTGGGCAGGTGCAAGTGGGGTGCTCAGGTAGAGGAGGTGCTAGAAGGGAAGCCACCACAGCTGCCAGCCAGGGGGCAAAACTTCCTAATTAAGCCTCTCTTCTCACTACTGCCTTTTCACTATGCTGGTAGGTTTTTTCCTCTCCCATTCAGTGGTGAAAGAGCCTGCTGCTTGCCAGGCTTTCTGAAGCCAATGTCTGGGCCAAAGTGAGTCAGTAGTTAGCACTTCCATGGGAAGGGACAACTCTCTCCGTTGCTGCGGGACCTTCTCACAGGCAACAAAGTGGGTTCTACGGGAAAGCAAGGGCAGGCCACTTTCGGGCAACCCTTGTAAGGGCTCCACCCCCCCACTGCCCCATGAAGCCCAGTTCCATGACTGGAGGGAGCAGGTGGGACAGGAGAGGTGGGCACGCAGGCTGCCAGGTCTCAAACTCTTTGTATTGGGATGTCAGCTCCCTCCTGCTCCAAGCCATTTGCACTCCGGATTTATTTCCCTTCTCTTCTTGCTCCAGGGATGGGAGCCTCAGCCCAGTTGCTTAGTTACCCAAAGGCTTAAGATACTGCAGCACCACAAGGCAGCTGCCTACTGCCAACATACAGTCATTTTGCAGTCATAAAGCAGGTTAGAAGACTCTGTTGTCTCACAGATGAAGACCCCAGGCTGGGGGGGAGTGGGAAAATGATGGTAGTAAGGAGAGCAGGCTGGGCTTGGGCCACTCTTTGAGAAGGGAATGAGCACATAGAAGGGGGACCCACATGGCAGTCAGTGCTATAATGCAGAGAGACCCAGCTAGCGTG